TTGCAAATCATAATTTAAAGCTCATATATATATATATATATATATATATATATAGTGTTATAACATTTGTCAACAGTATTTGATTATTATATATATATAATTATATAATGGAAAAAAAATTATAATTATATACCAAATTTAGTTTTTAGAGGTGTTCCATCTGGGACAGTGGAAGTGGGTTAAGATTCTTTGGTAAGTGATTACTTAGATACAGTCTAAATGTTCAGGAGTAGAGAAATAGTTAACTGTACACATCTGTACAGTGGAACAGTTGGAAGCCAATAAAAATTATATTCTCATAAGACTGTTGGTATGGAGAGAGCTTGAAGGTAGGGAGGAAATCTTGAAACTATGTGATATCAACTGTTAAAAAGGAAGTGTACGTGCAAATATCCAAATGTATACAGAACAATGTCTGAAAGTAGATAATATAAGCCAGTAAGATTCTCTAGCAGTTTCATTTCCTTTGCTACAGAAAATGAAGCCATTACTTTTAAATTAGAAAACTAAATAACTCCTCCCCCATACTGGGGATTGAACCCAGGGGTGCTTACCCAGTAAGCCACATCCCTTATGATTTTTTATTTTGAAGCAGGGTGTCATTGCTTAGGGCCTCACCGAGTTGTTGAGGCCAGCCTCAAACTTGCGATCTTCCTGCTTCAGCCTCCTGAGTCACTGAGATTACAGTATGCACCACTGTGCCTGGCCTCAGTAAATATTTTTAACAGGTTATATGAATATTTAAAATACTGTATGTTTTTAATAAGGGATCAATACTATTAAAATAGTAGTAATTAAAGAGACAGTAATAATTTTTTTTGTTTTACTTAGTTTGTTCCTTAGGGAATGAGGAGTGTGTTTAGAACTATTTAACTCTGTTTTGTCCCATTACAAGTTGTTGTTACGCTCCTTAGGTTTTGGTGCTCAAGTATTGCCCCAGGCATGCTGAGCACAGCTCTACCTCTGAGGTGCACCCCAGCCCCGTTACAGTTTTTGACTCATATTGGAATACAGAAAGATTGTCCTAAGGTGATCTAGGAAGAGTTGAGAGGGGGGGATAGGAAAAGGGTTTGTCTTCTCTGCTTTCTGCTCCTTTAACAAAATCCTGGGGGTCCAGGACTCGGTGACTCACTGAAGAATCCAGGTGTGTGTGGCTCACGGTCAGCCTCTGGCCCTGGCTGCATGAGGACCTGGGAGATAGAGCAACTGTGTCAGCTCAGGACTTTGTTCCCTTCTTCCTGGGAAGTCACCAGTCCCACTTTGGGGGTCCCATGCTGATGGTGACCTTCGTTTTGGATCCATTATGTTCTAACGATCCCGCCTCCAAATATCATCCCTGTAGGAATTTGGGAATTAGGGTTGACTGTCAGTTCCTGAGAGGACATCCAAGCCCTGCAGGGCGAGTGGGGAGAAAACATTTCCATCTTGCGGAAGTCATCACACTTGAGCAGTGACAAAGGACAGGGTGTTCACAAGAGGGCAGCTGTGGGCAGTGGAGAAGCTCAGGATGGAGGGGGAGACCATAGTGGCCTGCGGTGTGGTGGAGGCAGAGCTTGTGAGAGCCAGACCGAATGACAAGAGAGGCTCGCTGTGGCTGGTGCTTTTCTCCTCCGGCTCCTTCCCATGCTTCCAGCGGCAGGCACCTTCCTAACTTCCTCCCACCCGTGATTCCTCAAGCCTGGTCAGAATCCATGGGGGCAGACTGGTGGCGCCCTGCGTTGGGTTTGTGAGGCTCACCTGCATGGCAGTATTTGTCAGTAGTGGTTCTTTCCGCTACTGGTGGTGCTGGTCCTGGCTCAGCCGCCGGCTGTTGTCCTTTTTTTTTTTAAAGAGAATTTTTTAATATTTGTTTTTTAGTTTTCCATGCTGAGGATCGAACCCAGTGCCCCGTGCATGCCAGGCAAGCGCACTACTTATTTATTTATTTTTGGTGCTAGGGATTGAATGCAGTTGTGCTTTACCATTGAGCTAGATCCCCAGCCCTTTTTATTTTTTAAAACTTTGAGACAGGGTCTTGCTAAATTGCTTAGGGTCTTGCTAAGTTGTTGAGGCTGGCTCAAACTTGGGATGCTCTTGCCTCAGCCTCCCAGGTTGATGGGATTACAGGTGTGCACCACTGTGCCTCGCTTTGCTCAGTCTTTAATTGGGTTGTTTGCTAACTATATACAGAAATGTACAAAATTTTCTTTCATTTTGCCTATGCGTATATTCAGTAGTCATGTGCTGGTAACTCTGGGGACGCCTACATGTTACATAAAAGCGTTTAAGAACCCAGCCTCTTTTCCTCTAGAGTAGAAAATAGCCAGATGTAATTTCATTTGACATACTTTGTTTCAGGACTAAAAAAAGAATCTTAGGCCTGTATGTTGTCTTACGTACGGACACAGGATGATATTGAGAAATCGGGACTGAGGTAGGAGACAGATGGCTTAGGTTCCCAGCTCAGTGTGCTTATTAGGAACAATGTAAAAGGTGATGAGATTTCTGCCTGCCTGTCGTGTGTGGTTGTGATGATCAGATGACATAATGAATATGGCAGTACTTTAACCACAAAGCTCCAGGAAAATATAAATTACTAAAATCTAGAAGATGGTCATGATGGAAACGTTAACAAGGGTTGATTTGTTAGGGGAAGCAGTCAGACTTGGCAGAAAATGCTGATTGCTAATTCTCTCATGGCTCTAAATAGAAGCAATTTTTTAAAAAAATATTTTTTAGTTGTCAATGGACCTTTATTTTATTTATTTATATGCAGTACTGAGAATCGAACCCAGTACCTTACACATGCTAGGCGAGCGCTCTACTACTAAGCCCCAACCCCAGCCCTAATACAAGCAATTTGTGTGCAGTGAACTTGAAAGAGTTTAAAGTTCTAATGAGCCTTTAGGCACTTTGAGGTAGCACATGTACTCCCTCAGTAACCTTTTTTCTTTTTTTTTAAAAAGATACAAGAGGAAAGGAGACTCCTGCCTGGGCATTAACCCGAAGAAGCAGTGCATATCTTGGGAAGGGGCTTCCTCAACAAAGAAGTGTGCGCACAGGCACGTTGAACGCTATTTTACGAAGAAGAGTGTGGGGTTGATGAGCGTTGATGGCGTTTCTGTTAGCAGTAGAACTGATCCTCCCTCTGCAGAGCCGGTCTTGTTTATCCCCGTGAAGGACTTGGATGATATGGCTTCTCCTGTTACAACCTGGTTGAATCCTTTGGGGATTTATGATCGGTCAACCACACAGTGGTTACAAGGACAGGGTCCTTCAGAAGCAGAATCAAAGCAGCCAGACTCACAGCTGGACAGAGAGAATGCTCTTCTCAAGGCAAAGGTGGAGGAGTTTAATAGGAAGGTTCGGGAGAACCCTCGGGATATTCAGCTGTGGATGGCATTTGTTGCTTTTCAGGTAAGTGTCCCTGTCCTGGTTCCCATACCTTGGAATGAGATTCCTGAATTAGGGCAGACCCTTTTATTCTACAGCACTTTCGGAGCTGCCATGAGGAAACCTGGCACTGAGCATGTAAAGATAGTTAGGCTCTAGCCCTTTCCCTGAGCTTGCTCAGGGTCCACTGAGGAAGCCTGATGTGAGGAACAAATGCAGCCTGGGTAGTCAGTGCTGTGCTGTGTTATTTGGGAATGGAGTCACTTGCCACTGGGGAGGAAGACAGGCTCCCAAGGGAAGGTGAGATTGGAACAGAATCCTTTTCTTCTTCTTCTTCTTCTTCTTCTTCTTTTTTTTTTTTTTTTTTTTTTTTTTTTTCTTTTTTTTTTTTTTTTTTTTTTTGGTGCTAGGGATCAAAACCAGGGCCTCACTTGTGCTGAGCAAGTACTCTTGCACCAAGCCACATCCTAGCTCAGGAAGGAACAGAATCTCAAGAGGAGTAGATATTCACTAGGCAGTGGGAGGCAAGTCTGAAGTACAAACAACACAGGCCAAGTGCACAAATCAGAAGTCAGTAGCTAGACCTGTGTGCTCCCTGTGTGTTTCCCTAAAACAGATGGGTCTGTCTTTTGTCTTCACTTGGAACCACATGCTATCATTAGACACTGTCCCATGTTTGGCTGTTTTATTGGTAAGACTGGCTCTTCAGAAAAGGTTTTCAGGGCACGATATGCTGGTTACTAACACTTAAATAAATCTAAGTTAAAAATGGCAGAGTAGGCAGGTCAATCTGTTGAAGTAAAGAGATCACGACTACTGTGGTAGGTGACACAGGCATCTTAAGAACTGAGTTTTCATGAAAAGGAATTATGATGAATGAGTGGTTATTGACAAGGTAGAAACCCGTGGGGATTGTTAGCCTACACAAGCACTGTCGACACGCTGGAGGTCCCCACTCATTGTGTTAGTAAATTGGTGTTTTTGTCATTGAGGATGAGGTCATGAGGAGTCCTGGCCTGTATGCTATGGAGGAAGGAGAACAGGAGAAGAGAAAGAAGTCCCTGAAGCTCATCCTGGAGAAGAAGCTGGCCATCCTGGAGCGGGCCATTGAGAGCAACCAGAGCAGCATCGATCTCAAGCTCGCCAAGCTGAAGCTCTGTGCGGAGTTCTGGGAGCCTGCTGCGCTGGTCAAAGAGTGGCAGAAACTGATCTTTTTACATCCCAATAACACGGTCCTTTGGCAGAAATACCTTTTGTTTTGCCAGAGCCAATTTAGCACTTTTTCAATATCAAAAATTCACAGTCTTTATGGAAAGTGCTTGAGCACTCTGTCTGCTGTTAAGGATGGCAGCATCTTATCTCACCCTGCGCTGCCTGGCATAGAAGAGGCCATGTTTGGTAAGAAGATAACTGATCCAGTTGCGTGGGAGGAGTTGGAAAAAAGGACTTATTTTTGGTTTATTTTAGAAAAGTCTAAATTGTCAGAAGTAATTTTTTAAAAAAGTGTTATGACTCTGGTAGATTATAAGATTCCCCTCCAGCTCTGTGGGTAGGGGTGTTGGTGGCGGGGTGGGGACTGTTTAGAATCAGTAGTTGGGAAAATGTCACTGAACATGAAGTTCCAACTTTTGTACTTATTAGTCCAGTAAACAGTCTTTTAAGTGCTTTGGCTATCAACCTGTTACAACCCCTAGTTACCTGGTCGCTGGTAGTAATGTACATGAGATGCCTTACTGACTGCGTGCGTAGATACGTTATTGATATTATTATGCTGTTAATGTTTTGGGTGTATTCCAAGGAGCTTAGACTATAGATTTCTGCAGTAATGTGAGGTAGCATGTTATGCAGGAGCTGGAGAACGTCACTCTTCAGTTTGAATCTGGCTCTGGTGTGACTTTGGACATATATATTCGTTTTCCTGTTTGAGCTCCAGTTCCCCCATCAGGAGCAATAGTTTAAAAAAACTCATCTGCTCACAGGGCTATTGTGAACATCAATGAGATAGAGATGATATGTGGTGAGTCCAGCTTAGTGTGTGGCACCTAACAGGCATATCTTTTATTGAATTCCCTGCTGTTATTACTGTTAGCTTCTAATACAAACATAGTGCTCTATAAATTTATAAGCATTTACCACTCTTAACATAAAGAATGTCACCTTTGGGGCTGGAGGTATTGGGAGTGAGTGCTTAGCATGTATGAGGCCCTAGGTTTGCTCTCCAGCACCAAAAAATAAAATAAATTCCATGGAGTAACTTTTAAAAGTGTTATATTTAAAATTATTTGTGATATGCTATATACATAGCTTGATGTTATTTAACAAATGGAATTATACCATTGTAATGCTGAACTGAAAATTTCAAGCACAGAACCTGGATTTGTTCACAGTGGACTCTGAGGGCTTGATGAAAATTGCTGGACAGTGACGCCATCTAGTGATCCGTGGGGTACAGAGCTTTGCTCTCTGATAAAAATCTACGTCATCCTTTTCCCACAGTTCTTCTTGTAGCAGTGTTGAATATTTGACAGCCAACATTCAGATCAATCTCTTGACGTATTTTTAGGTACCATGTGTAGTTTTTATTATAATAGTATTCTGTGTTGGCTTCATCAAAAATCAGCAAGATTATACTTGGATGGAGTACTGCTGATAGTCCTTTTAGATCAGGACATGTGTGTGTTCCAGCTTTGAAAATGTTAACAGGAATTTCTGGCAAAAGATATTCTCAGTGTTCAGTTGCATGTTGTGAGCATCCTGTTCTCTCCCTCAGTGGTATCAGCAAGGAATTCCTTCCCTTTCTTCTCCCTTCTGCAGCACTCCTTCTTCAGCAGTGCCACTTTCTGCGGCAGGCTGGCCACTCAGAGAAGGCCGTGTCTTTGTTCCAGGCCATGATTGACTTCACTTTCTTCAAACCTGACAGTGTGAAAGATCTGCCTACCAAAGTACAGGTACCAATCTCTGCTTACATGATCAGTGTCTATTTCTCAGAAATATTTCACTGAGCCAAGGAAAATTCCACAGTGAAAGTAATGAAATAAGGATAGAGAAGGGAAGATTCGTCCCTTCTCTCCACATGGAGACGTGCCCGTTATCCATCCATTCTCCCCTCGTGGCCCTTGTTTAAAGGCAGGTCATCTCCAGCAGTCATGCTGCAGCAGCAGGCCCGTCACTCTCCTGCGTCCTAGTCTGGGTCTTGTGGTGCTGGCCAGGTAACCTTTCTACTGCCTACAGTGTTTGCTGGAGTTGCAAATGCAATTGCATACAGGCACTTTGTCCACACCAGTCCTTGAGAAGGGTTCATCTTTTAGGTGACAAGTGAACAGTGCCAGAGTTTGTTTTGTGAAGAAATGAGAACGTCTTATTATAGAGATATGCCCTTGTGAAAACCACTGTCTTCCCTTTTTCCACTGAAGAAAACTGCTTTTTTGCTCTGAAGAGGCTCAGGTCTCCCTCCTATGGAAGTTTCATGAATTGCCAGTAAAAACCATTTTTATAATGATTTATCTCTAGTTAAAGTTGGGTTAAAGAATTACTAGTTAACATTAGTGTAATGGATTATTAATAAGCCAGATAGAGTAGTTTTATATTCTTTGGTTTTTTAAGAATATGCTGTGTTCCAGAAGTGATTCTTAGCTGATTCTAAGGGTCGGGGTCTGAATCCCTCTCATCCCTGTTCCTTTACTGTCTGTGAGGAGAGCATTTACTGCCCGGAGAAGGAGTCCACTGGCTACTGTGACACAAGAGGACCAGTGCTCAGCTGCTCATAGGTGTCCAGGGATCATGAGCCTTAGTCTTGAGGTTTTAAGTACTAATAGGTATGTGTGTTTCCAAAGCATTTATGTGACAACTTTGAAATGAAACTTCTTACTTAACAATTTTCCATTTTTTATTAACTGAGACATTACTGTACACACATTAACAGTTTATGTAATAAAACAGTCAGATACCACTGTTTCTTTGGAGTAAAAAACACTGGTTACAATAATTTATCACACTATTTTAAGAAAAGTTCTTTTTCTTGAGTGTACTTTCTTCCGTCACTCTCACAAGAGCAGCCCTATGAAGCGAGAGCATAGTCTTCCAGTTCCTTTTCCGAGGGTGACTGACACATGCTGGGAGTGCAGGGCCCATATCAGCTTGCTTGCTCTGCCCTGCCCTGTCCTACCCTGCCCTGACTCTTCTAGAGACCATGTTCCTCCAAGTGTGCAGGACACTGCTCAGGCTGCATAATCCTGTGACTCTGTGCTGTGCTGTGCTGGTTGGAAGAATGTTTGTCCTTTGAAAGGTTTCTTACAAGAGCCTTGTGGGAGTAGGGTTGTTGGCTCACTCTTGAAGTCTTGTTGCCAGTTGATAGCATGATCACGTTCCTGCTCAGCACGTCCACATTCTGTTCCGTGGGGAATTATTTATTGCCAGTGAGCCGGTTTCCACACACTATGGACCTAATGCCCACGTGAGTGGAGCCAGGGGCTCATGGGTCAGGCTAAAATGCAGGCCATTTTTTTCCTTGGCATGCTTCCCTTCTGTGTCTGTGCCAACAAGCATTTATTGAGTCCCTACTATGTGTTGAGCTCTGTGCCAGGTGTTGGGGGTAGAGTTACCTAAGATGTGGTTTTCCCCTCAAGAGCTCATGGTCATTGGAATTTTGAATTCCCTTCCCCTGAAAAGGTCTTGAAAGCAATGTGACTTCAGATATCTGTTGGGGGATCCGGTGGCATTAGGAACAGGCAAAGCCACCAAGGAGCAGAACTGGGAAACTGCTTGTCTCCTGCCCAGCTGCAGGCCCTGTCACTAGAATTTGCCTGGTCTTTTTTATATCCTAACTTTGGAAGTGTCATCTCTTCATCTTGGCCATATTTGATTTATTATAAGTCACTGGGCCAGCCTTTGCTCAGAAGTGTGCATTCCGAGTCAGGAGTGAGGTGTCTTGAAGGCTGCCTACCACACTAGCTATTGTGTTTTTGTCGTGGCATGTTCCGTGTGTTGACTTCAAACACTGGTAGCCGCATATGGCTTTAGGAATCCTCTGCTCCTGGTGTGTCCACCAGCTCTTATTTTGCCCAGTGACTCAGCAGTGTTGTCCTATAGGCCTAACTTATGTGTTTTTAAACCTAAACAGGTGGAATTTTTTGAGCCCTTCTGGGACAGTGGAGAGCCACGGCCTGGGGAGAAAGGAGCGCGAGGCTGGAGGGCGTGGATGCACCAGCAGGAGCGGGGTGGCTGGGTGGTCATCAATCCAGGTAGGTGCCTCCCCGGGAAGATGGGTATGCGCTTTTCTTATGGAGTTTCAGCATCTTCATGGTCACTTGTATGTCTGTATAACCTTTTTATCTGTGGCTTAAGAACATGTACAAACTTTAAAATGTCAAAAACACATTAAGTAGATTTCATGGGAGAGTAGACTGTTTCTTCCTCTTTTAGGCTTGAAAGTACTTAACATCCCATTCCTCCAGTCCACAGTGCTCTGAGGATTGAGTCTCCGGGGGAAGGAATTTTTTATTTTCTTTGTAAGTTGCTCCTGAAGAAGCAAGTGTGTGTTTAAGAAGGTCTTATTGTTCCTTTGGCAACATACAGACCAACAGATCCTTTTTGCCTTTTTAGGAATATTGCAAAATAATTATTAACTAGCATTTGTATAACTGTCATTCTGCATAACTCCAGAGTTCTTTCCAGATTTAAATTCTAACACAGCACTATCTAATAGAAATACAACACAAGCCACATGTGTGATTTCAGATTTTTCCAGTAACTACAATGAAAAAGTAAAAAGTTGGGTGTGGTGGCACATGCCTATAATCCCAGTACTTTGGAGGCTGAGGCAGGAGGATTACAAGTTCACGGCTAGCCGCAGCAATTTATTGAGGCCCTAAGCAATTTAATGATATCTTATCTCAGAATAAAATATTTAAAAAGTGGAGTGGGGTGGGGTGGGCTGGGCTGGGGAGGGCTGGGGATGTCACTCAGTGGTAAAGTGACCCTGGATTCCATCCCTAGTACCAAAGGTAGTAAAAAGAAACAGTGAAATTACTTAATAATGATATTTTTAACCTTGTATTTCATAACATAAACATTGCAGCATGTAAATACTATCAGTATTTAAAAATTATTAATAAGATAATTTACATTTTTCTCCTTTTCCTGCTAATTCCTTGAAAGTTGGTGTGTATTTTGCACCTGCCACTCACGTCAGTTCACCCAGCCACTTGTCCAGTACTCACCAGCCACATACTCACAGCTGGGCCTTGGGTGGTGCAGCTCTTAGACATTCAGTAACTGCTTCTCTCTCTGAAAAGTACTTCTAGCCTAGAGGGAGGTCTCCCTGGCAGACTGTTTGATCCAAAGTACCAGGACTTGGGTACCAGGTCCTAGCTGAGGCTCAGCTGCCTCTTCTCCCAGCATGACCTTTCTAGGCCCTGTTTTCTAATTTTTTAATGTTTTTTTTTTAGTTATACATGGACACAATATCTTTGTTTATTTTTATGTGGTGCTGAGGATCGAATCCAGTGCTGCACGTGTGAGAGTCAAGCGCTGTGCCACTGAGCCACAACCCCAGTCTCTCTAGGCCGTTTTCTTGACCTATAGATAGAAACTTTGGTGTCGGCGTGGTTTGCCCGGCACAGAGCTCAGGCCAGGTGGCATCTCTGCTACCACTGAGGGGGCAGAGGGCTCCTTTGAAGTTTTGGGCTTGTTCTGCTGGGGGCGCCTTTCGGTGAGGATCATGCCTCATGGGACCCTTTGGTAGGCTCAGCTTTTAGATTTCCCTGAGGGATCTTTTTCAACAAGAACTGGAACCAGTCTCCAGGCTAACCAGTGGCTCTGTGTGAAGGCCAACAGCCTAAAGCCTGCATGTGTGGAATGGAAGTGTTGCACTGCTGGCCACAGAGATGTAGTGACCAAGGACCAAAAAATGGCAGTCTTGGCATTAAGCCTTCTTTATTCAGTGACTGACTCAACTTGGGTCTGTGTTTTAGGCTAGCTTTTTGATTTGTTGAGGAGCAAGATTATTATGATGCTTAGTATCTGTGTTATAAAGTTTGTCAAATTCTGCACTTTTACAATGATAAAGTAGCGTTCTCATAGCAGTTATCTGGAGATTAGGGTAACACTGTTTCTCTGATGAGTGTCCAGATGTCTCATGGTTACTCATAATAAGATGTAAAGTTAGTTAAGTGTGGAGACCTTGACTTTTAATATCAAGTTAGAGAGGTGTTTTGGCACCTATATTTCCTGAGATTTCCTAATGTTTCCATTAAAGAAAATTGTCTATTGAATTTAATTAATTTCTTTCTGATGAATTTAATAGGAGTCTTTCAAAAAACCAGCAGAGAGATTGATAATTTTCTTGTTTCCAGAAAACTAGTTGGTAACCATTTTTGTTTTTACTTTTAAAATTTCTGTCCACCCTGAGAAATGTAGCATTTAGAAGGTAGTTGGGATTTTATAATGTGTTTTGAGGCATATCTTTTTCATATATCACAGCTTACTTTTACCCATTAGTCTGTAATTATTATGTCTGCCTGTCCAAAACCATGTGATCATTTGAATTCTTTTTTCTTTTTTTTTTCTTCAGACCTAGGGATTGGACCCAGGGCCTTGCACATTCTAGGCAAACACTCTACCATTGAGCTATACTCTGATCCTTTTTAAAAATATTTTCAAATTTTGAGACAGAGTCTCAGTAAGTTGCTCAGACTGGCCTAGAACTTATGATCCTCCTGTCTCAGCCTCCCAAATAACTGGGATTACAGGCATATAATATCATGCCTTGCTTGAATTCTTAGTGCAATAAATTCAGGTGTCTAACTGAATATGTATAACTCAGGGATCATTTTAAAGTATTTCTCAAAAGTGTTTAATGGATTACTTTAAATGTAGACCTTGGGCTGGGGATGTGGCTCAAGCGGTAGCGGGCTTGCCTGGCATGCGTGCGGCCCGGGTTCGATCCTCAGCACCACATACCAACAAAGATGTTGTGTCCTCTGAGAACTAAAAAAAAATAAATATTAAAAATTCTCTCTCTCTCTCTCACTCTCTCTCCTCTCTCACTCTCTCTTTAAAAATAAATAAATAAATAAATAAATAAATAAATAAATAAATAAATATATGTAGACCTTTAGAAGATGAAGATGAATACATTTTGGTATTTTACTTTGAGAAACACAGAACATTTAAGTAGAATGCTGTTATACATTTAAATTATTCAGGGTTTTTGTTGTTTTTTTATTTTGAAATACTTGTAGATTTACAAGAAGCTAAAACAAATGTACCTAGAAGTTTTGTGAACCCTTTGCTCAGTTCCACACATTGGGCAGAGTTTCACAACCAGGAAGCTGGCATTGGTATAGTCTGCAGGGTTTATTCCAGTTTCACCAGTCTGTACCTCTTTTGTATGTGTTTGTTTCCCTAAGCACTTCAGTCCCGTGTAGCTTCATGCAGTCACCACCACACTCCAACACAGATCTGATTCATCACACAGAGCTCCCTCCCATGACTCCCCTTTTTGGTCTCCCTGTTCCCTCCCACTGATCTGTTCTCTACCATCTCTAGAATGTTTGCATCTTCCTTCTCTGAAACTCTGTGCTCATTAATCCCCTCTCCCTGTAGCAGCTACCATTCTTTCTTGATTTAGTAACCTCACACAAGATCAGTTTTGTAATTATTTGTCCTTTTGTGACAAGCTTATTCCACTTATCATAGTGTCCTTAAGGTTCAGCTGTGTTGTGCATGTGTTGCAATTTCCCTTTCTTTTGATGGGATGTGTGTGCCACATTTTGTTTATTCATTCTTCCATTGATGGACACTTGGGTTGCTTCACCTTCAGTGGTTGCCGATGCTGTCACGAACACGGGTGTAAAATATTTGAGTTCCTGCTTTTGGTTCTTGGTATATATTCAGAAGTGGAATTGCCCAATCATGGTAATCCTAAGTTCAATCTTTTCAACTGTCAATACTATTTTTTACAGTGACTATATCATTTTACATTCCTACCACCACTGCACAAAGGCTCTGGTCTCTCTACCTTCTTTGCAACACTTGCTTTCTGTGTAGTTTTTTGAGATTGAATTTTTCGCTTAGCACAAGTCTATCAATAGTTGTTTGTTTTTAACACTGAGTAGTAGAAGTCCACAGTATAGTTGTATCACAGGTTCTGTTCACTTACTGTGGGACGTTTGGGCTATTGTGAATAAAGCCACTACAAACATTAGTGTATAGGATTTTATGTGAACATAGGTTTTTGTTTTTCTGGAATCAGTTGTTCAGAATTAGGAAACAGAGAAATTACTAGATATTCTGAATTGACCTATTTTTAAGCAACTTACAGTGGTGTAATAGTTAATGATAAGGCCACTGTCTAAATATTCTGATGGCTTAAGGAAATCTAAGCCAATACGGTCACTCAGCATTTTAAAACTGTGTTGTCCAAAACAGTGACCTCTAGTTACCTCTAGTGATTATTTAAAAATTAATTAAAATGAAATTAAGAATTCAGTTTTTTTTTTATTTGTGACATTTCAGGTGCCCAGTAAGTCACATGTAGCTAGTTAGTACTGTTTTAGCACAGATAAAGAACATTTTTCACCTTTGCAGAAAGTTCTTTTGAACAGTGCTGATCTAGAGTATCTATCATTCTTTTTTTTTGCTGTGATAGCATTTCAAATCGTCTGATTCCCTTATCTTTCCTGCCTGTTCTTCCTGGGCCTTGGGAGAGTCCCTAGATGCCCCTGAATGCCTGAGGAGGCTGGCCTGGCTCTGATTCATCTTGGTGTGGTAGGTGCCCACACAGTACCTGGCCCAGCAGGCTGACTGGGTGACTGTGGGGGTTTTATTTACTGCTTAGGTGAACTGGAGATTTCATTCTTGTCTAGATGAGGATGATGACGAGCCAGAAGAGGATGACCAGGAGATAAAAGAGAAGACTCTGCCCAGGTGGCAGATCTGGCTTGCTGCTGAGCGTTCCCGAGATCAAAGGCACTGGCGGCCCTGGCGCCCTGATAAGACCAAGAAACAAACTGAGGAAGACTGTGAGGATCCCGAGAGACAGGCACGTGCGCTCCACCGAAGGCAGGAAATTGACCTTTGGATTTTTGTCCTCCTTTCATTCCCATTATGTCTCCTTATCTGAAAGAAGTTGCTGGGGGTGCCCTAGTGCTTGGCTGGCTCAGAAGACTCTGGCCTGTTTCTGTCTGTGTCTGGGGAAACAGCCCTCCTGTTCGGTATCAGGTAGAATTTCCCTGCATTTGGTTATGGGAGTGCTTATTGGCACTTGACTAGGTAGATCCTGTTGAAGGTAGGCTCTCTTGGTCTCCCCTTTGGAGAGTGTCTTCCAGGTCATTTAGTTAACTTTTCATATGGAACCCTGTGGCCTCAAGTTCTAAAATTTGGATCATTGTCCTAGATTGTTTAATTGTGTCTGCTCCCCCACCCATTCTCTTGGATTCATGAAGATGCAGCAGCTGTATTCAACTCTAGAAGGCATGAGGGGAGAATGGAGAGACAGGGCAGTAGGTTCACAGCTTGTCTTTTTGAGGAAGGCGCTGATGTTGGTTGAACATGTTGAGGGCCACACACTTCACTTTACTGTTGTTCCATGGTATGATCCGTGCTGCTCTGCATTTGTGGGTTAGCAGCTCTGCGGGTTTTAAATTAAAATGAGGGAGGAAGTGCTCTTTTTTTGTTTGTTTTAGGTGGACACAATATCTTTATTTTATTTTTATGTGGTGCTGAGGATCGAACCCAGTGCCTCGAACATGCCAGGCCAGCGCACTACCACTTGAGCCACATTCCCAGCCCAGAAGTGCTCTTTTGATGCCTGGAATTGACCAGGTACCAGCTCTACTACTTGGTGGGTGTTACCTGAATAGATTTTTCTCTGTGACCTTGCAAGTGACATGCCTCAAAGGTGGAGAGTTCTGCCTCTTGTTCATTGCTGTGTCATCAGTGCCTAGAGCAATGCTCATTCTGTGCTTAGGTGATGTTCTTGTATGTTGAAGGGTTGTTTGTTGATGCTGGAGCATGAAGGCCCCACAGTGCCAGCCACATCTGTGAACAGGGTGGCCAGACTGGAGTTAAGATGCAGAGAATTGGGGCTAGAGAAGCAGGTGTGGTCTGGGCAGGAGGGCCAGCTTCCAGGGAAACCTCAGCTCCCCGCCTGCTGTGGGAGGCATGTTTGTGTGGGAGACCTCTTTCTTGACTGCAGCCGAGTGTTTAGGGGAGACTGGGGTCTCCTTTTGGTGTTCCAGGATCTTATATGGAGTTCACGACTAACCTTTGGGAAGTTGGTTCTCTACCAAGAATTCCACCTGTCCCATGGACCTGGAGCACACAACTGTTGTGAGTGACTTCTTGTCATTTAGCTTTTTTCTCTAGTCCAAAGTCCCAAGTTTATTGTGTTTGCATTTTGATTTCCTCTTCCGAGAGCCACAGAGATGAATCAGACAAGCAGCAAGTACCTTGAGACAAAGGGCAGTGGGTGTCCTTGGCTTGGATGTTTTAAAACAATTACATGAAATCAGCTGTGAACATGTACAGTTGGTATTGGGCTCTTAAATGCTCTTGTCATTTTCTTCTTACCTGTGCCTGTTTATCTGCAGTTTTCATTTTCTGAAGAAAATTTGGACAAAAAGAATTCTCAAATAGAATTTTTTTTTTACCTTAAGATACAAAGGTTTGTTATAGTAACTATAAAAGCAATTATGTGTGCTTTTTGAAGAGAACATGGTCAATCTCTCTTATGAATCCAGCAGGATTCTTTGGAAGTGGTCGGCTTAAGCTTGTTTGTGCCTGTCTGCCTTCACAGTTCTCCCCAGAGGTGTGAAAGTGGTAGTAGTCTTGGGCTGCTAGTGGTTCTCCAGCTGTCTGGGAGGCCTTGGGAGGCATCCAGCTTTTTTGTATTTTGCAGAAAACTTAGTTCAATATAAGATTTACTTTGATTTGAGTCATGTTGAATCATTAGTACCTCCATATAAAAAGAAATGTGAAAAAATGTGAAGATAGAAGTCTTGTGTGTTTGTTCATTTCATTAAATGGATCCCTTTATTTTGCCTTTGATTACAGGTGTTGTTTGATGATATTGGACAATCTCTGATCAGACTTTCCAGCCAAGAGCTTCAGTTCCAGCTGATCGAGGCCTTTCTGCAGTTCTTGGGTGTGCCTTCCGGCTTTGTCCCTCCAGCCTCCTGCCTGTACCTGGCCATGGATGAGAGCAGCATCTTTGATAGTGGACTCTGTGATGAAAAGCCCTTGACTTTTTTCAACCTTTCATTTTCTGGCATTAGCTGTGTTGGCCGCATGGACCGCTTGGGCTCTCTCCGCTGGACCAGGGGTCACAATCGAGAGGGCGAGGAGTTCATTCGCAATGTCTTCCACCTTGTGATGCCTTTGTTTTCAGGCAAGCAAAAGTCTCAGCTCTGCTTCTCCTGGTTACAGTACGAGATTGCAAAGGTAACTCCAGCTGCCTCCTGCCTGGGTTTGGGGCTTTTTCATTTCACATCAGTGTTACAGATGGCATTGTAAGGCCCCAAGTGCTGCTCCAGGAACCATGCCGACTCCTGAAGGCATGTTACGCATGGCTGCCCTTCAGAGGGGCTGCAGGGAAGAGGAAAGCAGGGGCCAGTCCAGGGCTCAGTGCTGGAGCTGTCACGAGGAGATTCTTACCAGATGCCTATGATAATGTGGGCAGTTGGTGTTAAGAACCAGAGTCAGCTTAAGCAGGGTTAAGGGATTTATGTGCTTATTAGAATAGATAAATAAGCTACTTATCCTCAGCGGTATAGCTATCTGCTCAAAAATGAGTCTCAGCCTGCTGCTCTGCCCTCTGCTGGCCATAGTTAGTACTGACTCTTAACATTCAGAGTTCTGAAGCTGACTACAGCTTATGCATACCAAGTTGTGTTAAAATAGTGTCTTTGATAAAATGTGGTGGCCACATCTCTTTGAAGAAGAACATTTGAAGTGTATCAACTTTGTTTATAGAGATTTGAAATGGAAACCTGGATGTGTTAATGTTGGGCTCCTGAGGCCTTGGTAAAATCTTGGTTTCTTTTCTAGCTCAGAGAGTCTTGGTGTTTACCAAACACCCAGGAAAGGAAGTGTAGAGACCTTTGCTATTGGTGTTTTCTAAAGTTGACAGTACAAAGAGATTGCTTGGAAATAATAGAGCACCCAGAGTCATTCTTTGATTATTTTTGTCTTGTAGGTCATTTGGTGTCTGCACACTAAAAACAAGAAGAGATTAAAGTCACAGGGGAAGAACTGCAAAAAACTAGCCAAGAATCTCCTCAAAGAGCCAGAAAACCGTAATAATTTTTGCCTCTGGAAGCAGTACGCACATCTGGAGTGGTTGCTTGGCAACACAGAGGATGCCCGAAAAGTTTTTGATACAGCCCTCAGTATGGTGGGCAGCAGCGAGCTGAAGGATCGTGAACTTTGTGAACTCAGTCTCCTCTATGCTGAGCTGGAGGTGGAGCTATCACTGGACTCGGCAGGGGCCACCACGGCCCGAGCTGTTCACATACTAACCCGACTGACAGAGAGCAGTCCCTACGGGCCCTTCACTGGGCAGGTCTTACCCACTAATGTTTTGAAAGCTCGAAAGGCTTATGAGCATGCGCTACAAGACTGTGTGAGTAAGAGCTGTGTCTCTGATCCAACTCCTCCTGACTCCTTGAACTGCCTGAGTAGCTTGGTCAAATGCTTTATGCTGTTCCAGTATTTGACCGTAGGGATTGAAGCTGCCATGCAGATATATGAACAGCTATTTGCCAAACTGAAGGGTTCTGTTTTCTCAGAAGGCTCTGGCATGGAGGACGGTGCCAGCTCCCAGAATCTGACCAGTGTTCTTGAAGCCATGACGCTGATGCACACAAGTCTGCTGAGGTTCCACATGAAAGTTAATGTTTACCCTTTGACTCCGCTACGAGAGGCGCTCTCGGAGGCTTTGAGGCTGTATCCCGGCAACCAGGTTCTTTGGAGGTCATATGTTCAGATTCAAAATAAGTCTCACAGTGCTAGCAAGACCAGAAAATTCTTTGATACAATGACCAGGTCTGCCAAACCCATGGAGCCGTGGTTATTTGCAATTGAAGCTGAGAAAATGAGGAAAAGACTGGTAGAAACTGTTCAGAGGTAACTATAGGCCATCTTGTTTGTGTACTTCCCAAACCTCTCGGGGGTGCTTGCCATTTTCCTACACCTTTGCTAGATCTCAGGAGTGGATGGGGTACAGGGTCTCGAGCACCTGCTGTAGAGAACACACTGAAGATGAACAAGGGACTTAGAGCATAGCAGTATCTTTTTTGAGAGGCTTTGGTGGCTGTCTTCCTGGGCTGGGCCTCTTGGGGCATGTGTTGCTTTTGGTGTGTACCTGGCAGGCCATCAGAGTGTCTGAAAGGCTATGTGAAAGCACAGTTGTTGAGAGCCTAACTCTGGGGGGTCACTTCTCTGATTCCAGCGCCAGCTCTGTTAGCAGCTGGGTGACCTCAGGCAAGTAACTCTCTAATAGGCTCCTCTCTGTCAAAAGAGAATAGTTAAAGAACCCGCCCGCCTCCTATGGTGGCTCTGACTGGTCAGTGAGGTAAGTGCTTGGCCCAGAGACAATGCTGCTGTCACTGTTTCCTTAGGAAGCCCTGTCTGTTTCACATGCTGTCTTTTGACGCAGTGTATTATATCCAAAAGTAAATGATAGTCCTGTGAACATATTAGTTTAGGCATCATTGTTTCTTCTGGAATCTCTGCTGTGGTTTCACTGCAACCTTATAAATAAGGCAGAATTTCCATTGAGTAGTATTTCATTTTGCCTGATTTTTATTTTTTACATTGGGATTTTTCACTGCATGTAAATCTTACCTCATCTACTTTGTATGGAAAGGTCTTTCCTTCCTGGGGAGTAGAGTTTGTATTCTGATTTTAGGGTAGGGCAGCGTCTTTAGAAAAGAGAGAAGCAAAGAATTTGTGACTTCTGGACAGTCTTCGTGTGGGGCAGAAACCACAGAACCCTGACCACTGCCTTCCAGAAATCACATTGTGGTGCCACCACACACTTGAAGGACAGCACTCCCCTGACACACTGTGACCTAGCTGTTGCTGACCTTCGTTGTCACTAGAGCATCCCTTCCTGCAGGTCACATAGCAGAGAGAAACGTGTTTTGGTTACATGAGCCCTTGCCTTGCAGGGTGGGAGGTAGAGAGATCCACGCCACCATCCCAGAGACTGGCTTAACACATCGGATCAGAGCCCTGTTTGAGAATGCAGTGCGGAGTGACCACGGCAGCCAGTGCCCCTTACTGTGGAGGATGTATTTGAATTTTTTGGTAAGAAAATATTTCGACGTTTGTTTTTGTTTGAATAGAATTCTGCTTCTTCCTTTTTAAGTGCAAAAGTGCACATGGCCCAGAGCTGCTGCTGGGAGGGCCTCAAGCCTCCCTGGTGTAGGAACCCTGAGGGAACAGCATCAGGCCTCTCAGGACTTGTGAAGGGGCGGGGAGTGCATATTTACTCAGATTATTTGGTAAAACAAAACCAGTAAGTAATGTAGCAGAACTTAATGTTAGTTTCTTTGAGTTGATTTCATTAAGTCAGCAACTTGAAAAATGGTCTAAGAGCTTTCCTTTGAAGGGAACCTAAATTCTTTATATTCTACTCATAAGAATTTCCTGATTCTGTTTTGTTATTAGAAATAAAATTTAGTCTAGAATGTGGTTTTTAAAGTAGACATTTTCAAGCAGATTGTGCTCACTTAAATGGTGAAGCACCATTTAATTTTGTCAACGTGAGGGTGCAGACGGGAAGGTGCTTCTCTGACTACGCAGGCTTAACTCGCTTTGCTTTGGGTCTGGGGCCTGGCCCTGAACTGGCCTCGTCTACTGTTTCCAGGTTGCCTGGTTCTTGAGGACATAGTCTTCTAGGCCTTCTGCTTGTTGCTTTAGTTCAAGGCCACTCACATCCAGCTGACCTCTGGTGAATGTTGTACCTTTTAGAAGCCAGAAGTGACCTTTATTCTTAGGTTTTATGTATATCCCTGATTATTCCATCAGGACAAATTCTCAAAAATTTCATCAGAGAATTTGAGCATTTGACACAAGACAAAGCTGGGGTGTTTTAAAGAGATGACAGACAGGGTTAGGAGAGGTTTGGCTCTCTGATGGCAAAAGGTCTCCACTGGAATTTATCTAGGTATACCTCCCTGACCTCTGAAAGGGGCCATGTGCTGAAGACCTGAGGGATGAGGAGGATACATCATCTCACGACAGCTCTTCATTGGCATATACAGGAAAAATGGGTTAATCCTAAGGGGGTAGAAGTTGCATCAAAAAGTTTGTACATTTCCTTTGTATTTGTTCTTTAGGTCCAGAAACTCAAGAGTTTGTGGTTTGTGTGAAATGGAAGTTTAAGGGGTCCTGTGCTTTGTGCTTTCGTGGCTGCAAGGGTGCTGCTTGTTTGCCAGAGATGACTAGGTGCAGAAGAATCTGGAGGACTGGAGGACTGGGCTTTTGCCAGAACCCTGCTCTGATTTTTCCAACATTAATACTCTTGTCACTCTTCCTAAACAATGGGAAATCTGTAGGTTTAAGTGGGGTTAGCTTCCAAATTTGCCAGTGTAATTTCTCCAGTCTTTTATAGGTAAAGGTAGGGTAAGAGCAAATTTATAGTATTTTTATTGAGTCTCTGCTGTGAGCTAGGTTTAATTGGGTTGTAGACTAAGAAATACCATTGACTTGGCAAAAAGATCTAGACTCTTACGGAATTTGTTTGCAAAAGTGGTGTTGGAGCTAAGGATTAATTAGAGCAGTGACTTTGCTTCACTCAGTTCCTGAATTGTCTGGGTGGGCACCTGGCACTTTATCAATTAAACACATGAAGAAACCAGATTAGAGCCCAAATGTAGCTGCAAGTGCCACAAGAAGAGCTGTGGGCCCTGTGAAGGTTGAGACCTGGGGCTGGGCTGGTGGGTTGCCTCTGCTAGAGCCTTCCCTGGACCTATGTACAGACTGACTTGCTTGCTTCTTTCACTGCAAAAATTGATTGAGGGATTAAAAACTTACTTTTGGCTATGGAGAATATGCAAGGAAAAGGAAGTGGACTAATAGCAGTTCAAACTCTCCACTCAGATTGGGACATAGCCAGTTAAAGCCTCAGTTTTAGGATCTTCCAGTGCATTGTTCTGCATAGATACTAACATTTCAACCAGACTTTTTTGTTGTTGTTTTGGCTAAAGTTGCAGTTACTTTGAAGATTTTTTTGGTCATGTGCCTACACAATAAGGAAGGAAATGTAAGTGTTGATAAGCTAATCAGCTGATTCCATGGGGCTGATGAAAGAAGTCTTGCTACATAAAAAAGAAACAATGGCATTTCTAAATGGTTAATCACTAGATTTCTTTTGCCCTCAGTACAGTTCCTTGTGCCATCCTGTTGATAGTGGGCAGAGTTCAGGCCATATTGAGAGGCCACCATTGAGGAGGGCTGGTGGGAGGGAAGAGATTCTTTTCAGCTGCCCTCCTGGGGTGAATGAGTAAACTTCTCATAGTGCCAGCAACTCATAAGGGGAGTATTATAGAGAGATGACATTTTATTGGAGGAAAATGGATGTCAGTTTTGTCAAATTGCTTGAAAAAATTCTGAGAGCTAACAGTTGCTCAGTTAAGTTTATAATGAGATGAGAAAAGAGAATCAAGTTTTGCAAAAGTGTGAAGACTTCCACCTTCTCATTTTCTTAGAGGTGTTGGTTCCCCCGTCGAGGTGGAGCATATCAGAGAGGAAGGCACAGAATGCCAGATTAAGCACCAAACAACTTTGCAAAATGGGCAAGTGCAGACCACTTGGTAGGTGTGCTGAGGCAGCCTGGTGGTGGCTGCCACTCCACATGGCCACTGGTGTTCTTTCCGCCTAGGGAGAGGAGAACCATGTTGCCCTGCTCACGGCTGACACAGGAGCTACTCCAGGGAGGCTGGCCTGCATGTTCCTTACATGTGCGCGACTTGGCTCCATGGGCTGAGGGTGAAGGAAGGGGGCGCCTCTGTGTGAGCTCTGTCCTGCCCCTCTGAAGACTCATTGGCAGGATCAGGATGTGCACAGAGATGGTAAAGTGTGACCATTTGCCCACTGCATAGGATGCCAGTCGCTGAAACAAATTTTCAAAAGAGTTATTCACAAGGCAGCTGAGTGTGGAGTGGGAGGCCACACATCTCCCTGCCTGAGGGTAGGTGTGTTGGATATTTATGGGATAAAGAAGCAGGGTGATCTGTGGTGTGGGGAGAATGATTGGAGGTGAAGTAATCTGTGTTTCATGCACGTGTAATGAAACTTCATGGCTCTTTATGAGACACATGTACAGAAAACAGAGGTGCACCATCTGAAGGTGGAGATTTTGGCCCTCTGACGGCAAAAGGTCTCCACTAGACACCTGCGCAGGCCCAAATGAAGAGTTGGTGGTTTCAACAAATATAGCCAAGTCCCTGAAAAGTAACCTAGGCAGCTGTTACCATCATGACCCACACGTCAGAGGTGTCATCTATAGCTTGGCTTGTGAGAGACTAAGAATATATAGCTCAGCTCCGTGACCCCCAGAATTAGTGATTTGTAAAGCCAGTAAAAATCAGGTAACTAAAGTGGGGAAAGGGGCTTCAGAGAGAAGTACAAAGCGTCGGTTCACATATATGAGGCCAGGCCAGCCACGTTTGTTAATTATCAGAGTTAGGATTCCAGTCTTCATGGAGTCTTGGAGACTGAGGTGAGGGTTACCTTCCCTACAGTGGCTCTCAGTTTCTTGGGAGATGCTTCTGACTGCAAAAGGTAGATATTTATAACTGGGATCCTCTCTTTTAGTAAATGCCCGGCAGATGGTTGGCCCCGGTGAGCAAGAGCACATTTTTCATAGCAGCTCTCTTCCTTCATCAGCTCTGTCTTCTTTGGTTCCATGCAAAGACTCAGTTGGTACCCTCAGGTGTTCCTGGCTTGCCTGAGGACACACATTCACCCAGTCATAATACTGTGGGGGTGACAGGAGTGTCACAGAAACTCCAGAAAAGAGTGTATCACCCCCCAGTTATGTTTCATTCCTAAAGGAATCTTATAAGGAGTCTTGGTTGTTAGGATGACATTTAGTTGGTGATAGAGGGACCAGGAGAGCTGGTAGTGTCCATGGACTCTTTTCTCACTTGAGGCTGTGCTCTACCCACAGGTGAAGGCATGTCCAAGGCCATGTCTTAGAATACAAAATCATGGGTAGAAAATGCACGGTCACCACTGAGTTCTCACCTGGCATCAAGCTCTTCCACCCCTGATGCAGAAAAGCACAGTGTTTTCCTGTGGCCTGTTGATGAAGGAAATGCCACTGAAAAGAGTGTAGTGATTTATTAGGTTCCAGGATTCTGCACTTGGTAGAAGACATAGTAATATAGTTTTTCTTTTTTCAAAAAGGAAGAAAAGGTTCAGTTTAGTCAGGAATTAGGAGAGGACATTGACGCATACTGACGTGGGAACGAACACACCGGCTGCTTAGTTGTGAATTGAGTGGCTCAGCCTCAGAACTGGAGGCATTCAGTAGAAAGGACACATGGGGAGTCTCCTGAGCCTTGTGGCTGGCTCTTGGAGAGGCTGAGCCTTGCCCAAAGCAGGGTTCTCATAGGTGTTGTTACAGTCCAAGCTGTAGTCTCTTGTGACCGTGGGAATGAACCTTCAAGATTGAAAAGTGGAGTTCCCGAGCAGCAGTTTGGAGCTCTGGATGCTGCAGTCCAGGTTTCCAGGAGCCCAGTCATTAGCTCTTCCTTCTCTGCTGGCTGCAGCATGCTGGCTGTGTGGCTAGGGAGAGCCAGTGTCCACTAGAACACGATCCTGAGGGAGCAGGCTGGGTGGACAAGCACAGAGACAGACTTGAGCTCCCTGGGCTCTGCTCACGCCAGCCAGCAGGTGGTACTGTCCTGGGTAGCTGGCTTCCCAGGAAGGTCAGGAGAGGTCCCCAGCAATGGCTCCTTCCACACTGGGCTGGGAACACAGTGGTGGCTGACTTGAGATGAAGGGTTTAGATCGAGAGAGAAAGCTGGCCGAGAACCTGCACACACTCAGACTGAAATTTCTGATGGAAAAATTTAATAAGGTAAAATCTGGCAAATGGGGTAAGCTATTGGAGAAATGAGATAGTCCTGATTATTTCATTTCTCTAAAAGACAGCTTTCATCCAGTGGCACATACTAAAGCAAAGGTTTTTTTCATTTGCACAACTTATCAAGCTCACCAGCTTCATTTTGCGGATGCAGAATGAGGCAGGTGGTTCCCAGTACAGGAGGAGGAACAGGATTGCTAATAAAAGTGCTCAGCATCAACATGGAGCCATTTGAAAAGGGAAATGTCCACCACATAGCAAGGGCCTAGAGAGCATTTTCTGGTATCTGGGTGCATTCCCGTCAGCCACCGTGATGGTGCCGGGCCATCCACAGAGCCTGCCTACGCAGCTAGGGCCGTATGCCATGTGAGGGCTGTTTTTTTTGTTTTTTCTTTTTTATTAAAGCCTGAGCTCTGCTTCAGTTGATCTTTTTTGTATTTTCGCCCTCCCCTCAGGCTTCCTTAGGAAACAAAGACAGAAGCAAAGGTGTGTTCTACAAAGCACTTCAGAATTGTCCCTGGGCAAAGGTAGGTTTTACACACCATGGTATCTTAGGATTCCTCAGGACCTTTCTTTCTTCTAGGCCTCCGCCCAGCCAGTATCACCTGGACATCTGGGGCTATCAGTACCCCTTCCCGGGGAACATTCAGGGCCTTATCCTAATGGAGTCAGAGCCCAGTGGTCCGTTTCCTTGCCCTGCATTGAAATGTGGCTCTTAACACTTGCCCACAATTCAGCTTAGATGCCCAAAGTGTTGGGACCCGTGTCCCATCCAGGCCAGGAGACATTTGGAGTCAAGTAGATAGTGATTCAGGGTCTCCAGCACCTCTGGCTCCACTGTAAGTGAGGCCTCACTTGGGTTCACTGGCTTTCACTGCTGTCAAGTCCACTGTCCTTCCTGACCAGTGCTGCCTGAGCTAAGAAAGCCCAAGAGAAAGGGGTAGTGGACTGTGGAGGGCCAAGGTGGGGGGCACGCTTGCTGGAACCCCTCCACTCTCACCAGAGGTCTTTCTCTGGCACTAGGTGTTGTACATGGACGCCGTGGAGTACTTCCCTGACGAGCTGCAGGAGGTCCTGGATCTGATGACCGAGAAGGAGCTGCGTGTGCGGCTGCCCCTGGAGGAGCTGGAGCTCCTGCTGGAGGACTAGGGTGCAGGCAGGGGAGCTGGGGAGCGCATGCGAGGAGCCTCTGTTTTGGAAGTGCTCTTCTTTGGTCCTTTGTGTCGGGGTTGTCAGGCTTTCCCATCTTACAAAGGTTTTGGACGTGTAAACGACACAAAGCCATTGCTTTACATATTATATATGTGAATGTGTGCACCTGTGTACAGAGGCGCAAGATCACCAGTGATGACGAGACGTGTGGTTGAGCTGTGCGTGGATTCCTATTCCTTCTGCTCTTGCTTTGCCCAGCCAGCACTGGCCCCGCCCTGGTACACACAGCCCCTGGTGGCATCATTGAGGGTCCTTCCAGATCCCTCTGTGTTAGGACTTTAAAGTCTGGCCCCTTAACATTAGGACGTCTTTCTGAAGCTGGGTGGCAGGAGAGCAGATTTTGTCCTCATCCTCAGCCCAGCACAGTGGAGGGTCGTTTAACCCTTGGTGTTCCTTCCTGGGTCAGGTGTGGGGCAGGTGTCTGCTTATTTCCTGAGCCCCACCGGGTGGCCCCTGCCTCTGCACAGCAGCATCCCCTGGGATCTCGGGAGCAGTGCAGACTCCCAGGCCCACCCCAGCCCTGCGAGTCAGAGTCTGCCCTCCATCAGTGACGAGTGGAAAGCCCTTGGAGCCCTCCACAGAAAGCCTGCTGATGACACCATCCCAGAGAGGGCGGACTGCAGCCAGCACCTTCCCCACCCAGCCTGACTCTGCAGGGAGCACTGAGGTTCGCTTGGCCTCCGTGTGGCAGCTGGCCCTGTTTTTGATTGCTGAGGGCTGTGAATAAAATGAGAGAGAAATATCCACATTTGGGCTTCTTTGCTTCTTTTGCTCTGAAGAGATTGGCAGCGCAGTCCTTTTCACCATGAATGTGGCGGGAGGGATGTCTCGTCTGTCTTGCCCACAGACCTGCTGCAAAGCAGATAGCTCCTTTCTGGACTCTTTTTTTTTTTAATCCTCATCTGTATAATTGCTGAAGATTTTGCATTTCTTTGGCCCCCCCATACAGAAACGCCTGTGTTGTGGGATGTAAATTTGGCCCAAAGCTGATGGACAGGTTGGGAAATAGAAGGGGAGTCAGTGTGCTAGCGTGCTTTCCAAGGGCAGTGTCTCAGGATACCCAGTCACTACCGCCTCCTGCCCCTCCCTGCGTGCATTTCTTCAGCAAAGAGGCACCTAATGGTGCTCCCTCTGGTGTCTTTTCACAGAAACAGGCAGAGCTTAGGGAGTTGAGAGCTCAGCCCTGAACTGGACCCGATGAGAGCCACTACAGCGCAGGGCTAAAATGAGGAGGCTCCCGCTCCCAGTTCTTGGCAGCTTACGAAGGAAAGTCTTTTCCACCCTCACCTTCTTGTCGGGTGGGTAACTTGCACACCCTGTTGGGGGCATCCAGTTGAAGCCCAGGACCAAGCCACATCCCCTACAACAGTGACTCATGTTTTGATCCTATCTGACTCCTGCACCTGTTCTCATTTGATTAGAACTTTAGAAACTGGCCTGTGGGTAACTGGTCCCCTCATACCCTAGTGGGATCCTTGTACCTTGGGAGCCTGGAATGAACTGTGCAAATGGGCAGTGAATCCCTGAAATGTGATAAAGGAGCTTCTCACATTGAGTTTTGGCACATTACCCTCTGCATGAGAAGATGCTTTAACACACACGCACACACACTCACACACGAATTCTCTGTGGGTAGCAGTGTTTTTTAAAGTTTTTTGTACTTGAGACAAAATGGGTACTTTATCACTGAGCTACACCCCCAGCCCCTTTATTGAAGTTTTTGGTACTGAGGATTGAACCCACGGGCACTTAACCACTGAACCACATCCACAGCCCTTTTAAAAAAATAATTTAGTAGAGAGTATCTCACTTAGGGCCTTGCTAAATTGGTGAGCTTGCCTTTGAACTCATGATCCTCCTGCCTCAGCCTCCCTAACTGCTGGGATTTCAGGTGTGCACCACCGTACCCAGCCCTTTTTATTTTTTGAGACAGGTCTCACTGAGTAGGTGAGGCTGACTTCAGACTTGGAGTCCTCCTGCCTCAGCCTCATTGGGATCAACCATGCCTGGCTGGCTGTGGGTAGATGTTTTATAGAAAAGTGGATAGTGATATAATTGTGATTTTTTTAAGAGACTTTTGAGATTGCTCAACATAAAAGCATGAAAGATGATTAGGCTGTTCCCAAAACTAACAAACTGATGGGAAAAGAAGGGGTTTGAATTTCTCCAAGTCTGTCAGGCAGTTGCTCTTATATTTATCAGGAGTGCTAATTAATTCCTCAAGGAGTTCTTATCACTTGAGACCCTAGGGCTCAGCCCTGTCTTGGGTCTGGATTGACAGTGGAGTGGAGCATACCATACTTCTGGCTTGTGGATTGCTGGACTTGCAGGGATCAGGAAGAGCCAGGAGGTGCCCTCTGTGCTATGTCCAGGTAAGAGAAGCCTCTCTGTTAGCTGCTGGTCATAATACACACATATTCCTTCGTTATTTTGCATTTAAAAAGTGAAGACAGGGTAGTTCTCTGCTTGCTATAGGGAGCAATCGGAGAGTTCACCCTAAAATACTTCTTCTGAGGAAGGGCTTTAAGGGACTAGTGACTTCCACAGGCAGCAGAGCTGACTGCCCTGCTCACCAGGTGAGAAACCAGAGAAGAAACTCATCTGAAGAAATTATTAGTCACTTCGTAATTTTAGCATTGGTTTGGTCAGCAAACTAAGTGGAGAGGCAGCTGGATTGGGGTGGAGGTGGGGTACAGTTCAGGCTGTGACCGCACTGTGCCTCAGCTCCTTCTACTCAGACACCGTAGGCACTGGCATTTGCTTTGGCTACTTTTCTTTGAGAGAAAGGAGACGTCTCTGTGGTTAGAGGAATTGGAGGTCACCGAGAAGGAGAAGGAAATACTGATGTGCATGTGTTTTATTCTTTTAAAGTCTGAAACTTAAAAAATATTTTACAGAGGAGTGAGTGTAGTCATTCCTTAGTATCCATGGAGGATTGGCTCCAGGACCCCCTGAGGATTCTGAAATCCAGAATGTACTTAAATCCTTTATGTAGAAGGGTATAACTTTGCATATGACCTATGCATATCTTCCCATATACTTTAAATCACCTCTAAATGACTTGTAACACCTAATGTAATCCAAATGTTACGTACACAGTTGTTTAACTGTATTGTTTGGGAGTAATGACTAGAAAAAGGTCTATACAGGTTCAGTACACATTTTTCCTGAATATTTTTGATCCGGGATTGACTCCATGGATATGGAACCCTTGGATGTGGAGGGCTGACTGTACACGGAACTTTTTTATCCTGACCCACTTGAGGGTAAGTTGCGATAGTTTTCTGCACATTACCATGCAAGTATCAAATAGGAAATCAGCATGAATACCGTTCCCTGTAAGATCTTAAGGTCAAAGTTAGGCCTCAAGGATTGTCCCAATGTCTTCTTTAGGAAGAGGATCCTATACACTTGGTTATCATGTATATCTCTTTGGCTCATTTGGTCTAGAAGCTTTAACTTTTTTTTTTTTTTTTTTTTTTTTTTTTTTAATAATCTGGACACTTTTGAAGTGTCCAGAATTTGTAGACTGTTCAATTTGGAGGTCTAGGTATGTCCTCCTGAATGGATTCAAAGTATCTTTGGCAGGAGTGTCACAATAGTGACACCTCTGGGCTAGCACATACTTTCAAGATGCTAATTGTTGATGTTTGTTTTGATAACCAGGTTAAGATGGTGTCTGCTGGGATTCTCCAATGTGAAGCTGCTTTTTCCCTAATTAAAGAGCATTTTGTGGGGAGGTATTCTGAAAATTGCAAATGTCCTGTTATCAAGTTTTCAATTCATGGATGTTAGTATGATCTCAGTTCCTATTTTAAAGGACTGTATTCCATTGATGTTAATTATTTTGACCAGTGGCAGCACCTTCAGACTGGCAGTGTCTTTTGACGTGTCCATTCTGTATACTTCTTGCTTTCTGGCAAAGTATACTTAAAGTTCATGCCCAGCTCTGGAATCACTCTAGCTCCTTTTAGGGGAGAATGATATTTACTTTTTGTGGTACTGGAGATCCAGCCCTGGACATCATTCTTGCTCAACAAGTGCTCAGCCATCTTAACTACATCCCCAATCCACAAATGGTATTTAGAAGCAAAGATGTAGGTCTAGGTATGTCCATTGTAATTGGAGTATCACCATTCCTAGTGGCTGTCAGTGGATTGAGTTCATTCTACTTTCCTTCTTTCCTTCCCTGTCACTTCTCAGATAGTAAGGATGGCAGGAGCCAGGTTTCTCACT